GTTTTAATTTTTCTCCGTTAAGTATAATGCTGGCTGTAGGTTTGTCATATATAGCTTTTATAATGTTGAGGAACTTTCCTTCTATTCCTAGTTTTCTTAGAGCTTTTATCATGAAATGATGTTGGATCTTATCAAAGGCTTTTTCTGCATCTATTGAGATGATCAAGTGGTTTTTGTCTTTGCTTCTGTTAATGTGGTTTATTACGTTTATTGATTTTCGTATGTTGAACCACCCCTGCATCCCTGGGATGAAGCCTACTGGTCGTGGTGAATAATCTTTTTGATGTGTTGCTGAATTCGGTTTGCCATTATTTTGTTGAGGATTTTTGCATCAATGTTCATTAAGGAGATTGGCCTATAGTTCTCCTTTTTGGAGGTGTCTTTGCCTGGTTTTGGGATAAGTGTAATACTGGCTTCATAAAATGTGTTTGGCAGTTTTCCTTCCCTTTCTATTTCATGGAACAGTTTAAGGAGGGTTGGTATCAGTTCTTCTTTAAAGGTCTGATAGAATTCAGCAGAGAATCCATCAGGTCCTGGACTTTTCTTTTTGGGGAGACTCTTGATTGCTGCTTCAATTTCATTTTGTGTTATAGGTCTATTCAGGTGATTAATTTCCTCTTGGTTCAGTTTTGGATGATCATATGTATCTAGAAATCTGTCCATTTCTTTTAGATTTTCAAATTTATTTGAATATAGGTTCTCAAAGTAGTCTCTGATGATTTCCTGGACTTCCATGGTGTTTGTTGTTATCTCCCCTTTTGCATTCCTGATTCTACTAATTTGGGTTTTTTCTCTCCTCATTTTAGTCAGGTTTGCCAGGGGTCTATCGATCTTGTTTATTTTTTCAAAGAACCAACTTTTTGTTTCATTAATTCTTTGTATGGTTTTTTTGGTTTCTATTTCGTTGATTTCAGCTCTTATTTTTATTATTTCTCTCCTTCTATTTGTTTTGGGATTTGCTTGTTCTTGTTTTTCTAGGAGTTTGAGATGTATCATTAGGTCATTGATTTGGGATCTTTCAATCTTTTTAATATATGCACTCATGGCTATAAACTTTCCTCTCAAGACTGCCTTAGCTGTGTCCCATAGGTTCCGGTAGGTTGTGTTTTCATTTTCATTGACTTCCAGGAACTTTTTAATTTCCTCTTTTATTGCATCGATGATCCATTCTTCATTAAGTAATGAGTTATTTAGTTTCCAGCTGTTTGCATGTTTTTTGTCTTTACTTTTGTTGTTGAGTTCTACTTTTACTGCATTGTGGTCAGATAGTATGCATGGTATTATTTCTATTTTCTTATATTTGCTGAGGCTTGCTTTGTGCCCTAGGATATGATCTATTTTGGAGAAGGTTCCATGGGCTGCTGAGAAGAATGTATATTGTGTAGAGGTTGGATGAAATGTTCTGTAGACATCTACTAGGTCCACTTGATCTATTGCATATTTTAGATCTTGGATTTCTTTATTGAGTTTTTGTTTGGATGACCTATCTATTGATGATAATGGAGTGTTAAAGTCTCCCACAACCACTGTGTTGGCGTTTATATATGCTTTTAGGTCTTTCAGGGTATGTTTGATGAAATTGGGTGCGTTGACATTGGGTGCGTACAGATTGATGATTATTATTTCCTTTTGGTCTATTTCCCCTTTTATTAGTATGGAATGTCCTTCTTTATCTCGTTTGATCAATGTAGGTTTGAAGTCTACTTTGTCAGAGATAAGTATTGCTACTCCTGCTTGTTTTCGGGGGCCATTGGCTTGGTAAATCTTCTTCCAGCCTTTCATCCTAAGCATATGCTTATTTCTGTCGGTGAGATGAGTCTCCTGTAAGCAACAAATTGTTGGATCTTCTTTTTTAATCCATTTTGTCAAACGGTGTCTTTTGATGGGTGAATTAAGGAGGTACTTCCTCCTCATCAGTTCCTGTCCTAGGCCTGTTTCTCTGTTTGGGAAATCATATTTGCTAAGAAACAATTAGTTTCTTGGTTTTTATGGAAAATTAATTTTTATCTTCATTTCGTATCTTTCCCAGAGCCCCAGACCCTACATTTGACATTCCTAGAGCTCAATTCATCATCCTTATTGTCTTTCCCCCAGGTCTGTTCTTGTAGTAATACATCTCATCTCTGTGAATGAACATCTTCGCCATCCACTGAGCTCTCCATCCTAGATCTCTCATTCTTTCCTCACGGTCAATTCCTAGAGCTCATTTGTTCTCTCTCCTAACTATATGTATGTATTTATCTTTTTTGTCTCTGTGTAAATAACATGCATGCTAGGAATTCTTCCTTGATTTCCTAATTAAAGATTAGTTGTCCCTGAATTATGTTTCCATGGCAGTGAATTTTACTGTGCCATTTTCCATACTTTACTGTCATTTTCTATGTACCTATCTAGTTGGATGGGCTAAAGTTCACTGTGGCCAACACAATTGTGTCTTTTTCTCACTGTTGCATATATATCACATTATACAATAACTAAGTGAGTGTGATTGTGAACTAGTTCTATCAGTTTTGTTTCACCTCTAAATCTGTGATTCATCACCTTTTGAGGTTACAAATGCTGTATAGGAGAATTTTCAAGGTACCAGTGCACCTTTAGAAGAATGTATACAACTAAATAAATTGGTGCATACATTCCTAAGGATTGCAGATAATTTTGAAGCCCTTTGATGAATCTATCTTGATATCTGATGCTAAAATCTAAATGAAACTTCTATAATTTTAGAAACTACCAGGCAGGGATTTTTTTGCGGGGGGGAAGTTGTTTGTTTGATGGTAAGGGGAGTTTGCTTGTTTTTAGTAGGTAAAGTTTCCAAGTATGTTAGATTTACTTGCTTTGTTTAAGTCTTGAATAGAGATGAAGTTACTTTATCATATTTTTCTTAAAGTTTATAACTACGAGTTAGATTTTATTGATAAATTTCAAAATGAAAATTTTGGATAATCTTGGTTATACACTAAATTTTAAGAGAACTCTTTACCAAGAGTGTGTACATTTAGTATAAACCCTAGAAACTATATTATAGTTTATGTTTCTCATAAATTTTTCTATTTATAATATTTATACTTTTATTGTGTTTAGTTAATGGTTTTTCTATATTGTTTCGATTTCTTTGTCACCTTTCTCTTATTTTAAAATACGCGAGTTTAGTTCTTGCTTTCTGAAAACAATCTAATTGAGTTTCTCATTCATTTTTCTCTTGGGCTGCTTACCCAGGGGAATATTCTGGTGTGTATGCTTTTAAATACTTTCACATTACTGCTTTTTAAGCTAGGTGTTCTTGGCTGCTATTCTCACTTAATGCTTTCTCATCTTTTTTTTCTGCTCAAGTACTTTTTTTTTTTTTTTGCTCTGCATATATTTTCAGCTTTTATGCTTATCTAAATGCTTGATAGTTTAATAGTGAAAACATTTATTATGTAAACTTTTTCAACCAGTCTAAACTCTGTTTTCTTCTGTCTCTGTAGCTTTACTGAAAAGTTAAAATTAGTGCTTAAAGCAAGCATCTCAACAAAAATCATTTGGAGTTGGAATTGGGAAACTTTTAGTTTTTTCTCAAGTTTGTGATAAATACATAGTAAAATGGTTGAATATACTACTATTTATGATATTTGAGAATATTTGAAAAAATTATAAACAAAATAGGAGACCATATATCAGGATTGACTTTTTAGCATTCCTAAGTTTGTTTTATTTGTTTTAAATAATTTGAAAATCATTCGGAATTTTAACTTTTTTTGAAAAATAAAAGGACAAGTTAACTCTTCCTTTGCCTTACTGAAATAGTTTTCTTTAGAAGTATTTTCTTCTTAATTTCCTGAGTTGTGTTTCTTCTCTCATTGTATGACATTTTCCACATTAACTCATAATTTCTTGGACAAGTAAGTGATTTTTTTTTTTGTTTTTTGTTTCATGTCTTCAGTTTTCTCTAATATGCTATTTCATTACTTCTGTTTCTTATAAGAAGCAGATTCATAGCTTTATTTTCCCTAAAGACTATTATATTGTATCTCACATTGAATGTTCTGCATAGCTACCTAGCTTACAGTACCCATTAAAATATTAAACACAACTGTATAAGGTGACAACTAAACATTACTATTATTTTATAGGAAAGTTTTAGGAAACTCTGTATTATTGACATGGGGTTTTCAATTTCATCATATTCACTTTTATTGTGAGAAAGAATTGGTAAAGCATTTTTAAGTATATCAGAGAGCATCCTTATGAACGAAGGAGATCATCTTTAGGTCTGTCTTTTGCACATCATTATGCATTAAATCATAGCATTGTGAGTCCTGATGTTTTTCATATCATGCATAGAACTTTATAAATTAATATTTTCATGCTGTTTCTTACATACAACATTTCTTGTTCTTTGTTTTTGCTTTACATGGAATGCATGGGCTTTAAGACCATAATTTCTTTGGTAAGGTTTTATCTGCCTTGGGGTTCTGTCTTTAGCCTATTCTCTATTAATAAGATCTAATTTTTAAGCAGAAGTCTACAATATCAGTTGTAATTTGGAAACAACTTCCTGTCCTCATTAGTGCTATTCTTTTTACCCTTTAAATAATGTTACATACTAGAATATTTGACAGAAAACTTTTGATCCTTTTGAAATACTATCTTTAAGAAAAAAAATATAGACTTAAAAGATGTAAGGAATTGGCCAACAAGAGCTGATATAATTCCAGCTAGTTGAAAAGCTGAGGCAGAAGAATCAGTTGAGCCCAGGAGTTTGACACAAGCAAGGGCAACACAGGAAGACTCTGTCACTAAAACAACAACAGCAACAATAAAAAGAATCGGCAACAAAAGCTTTGTTCTGTGATGAATAATTATTTACAATTTTATAATCTTTGCAAGTAGATATGTCAAATGAAGCCAAAGACAAAATAAAATGGCTTAAAAGATAAAGTTTATAAAATTTGGATATATAACTTATTTAATTTTTGATAAATTTATTTTCAAGGTCTTTATCATTTTTCTCTTGCTAGGAATGGGTCGTGAAGTTGAAAATCTCATTCTAGAGAATACACAACTGTTGGAAACCAAGTAAGTATGGAATTTGTTTGTTTGTTTATTTAATATTGTACTAGGGATTAAACTCAAAACCTCCCCAATTGCTAGGCAAGGTATGGAATTTTAAGGAACAAAAGATAATTTTCTTCTTATCCAAGACAATGACATTTCATTAGTTTAACACAGCACTATATGTTTCCCTCCTTCATCTCACACACACATAAGCCCACACACACTTAGCCCTGATGGCTAAGTTTTATTACTCTGTTTTTTGCAGATACTCTACAAGTCCATGCTTTTTCTCTTAATCTTTTGGATGTGTGCTACACCTTTTTTGTTGTTTTTCCTGAGATTTTCATATGTTCTTATCTGTTTTCCTTGGATTTATTACATTTCTGCACAATTGTTTTAATATATGCCCAGCCTACTTTTATAGAACTCTCTTCTATACCTGTGAATTCTTGGGTACAGTTTGAAGAGTCTTAGGCCCTTAAGCAGCATGTTCGGGGATTATTTAAAGGAACAGGTCTTTTGTCATGTGAAACAGCAGACTGGGTCCCCTTGTCATATTTTGTGGCCAACCAACTTCAGAACAAGTGTGTATATTGACACAGAATGTACTATAATAAGGTGATACCCAAAAGAACTGGATCTTAGAATTTTTTTCTTCAGTTTCTTTCCAGTTTAGAATATTTTATTATTTACCTTATTATTTACTGAAGGTAACCTCAAGAAGTAATTGGACTATATTGATTAGGTATTGTGCTCACTTTGGCAGTACATATCGTAAACTTGATTGGGCAATATTTTTTTGGGAACTTATAACAATAGTAGCCTTAGAATGCCATTTTCATTTTTCTTAACTCTATTTGTTGGTAATATGTGTTCATCCATTCTTTTCTTGATAAAGTATGAAGAGTAAAAACTTACTATTGTTTTGTATTCTTTTTGTACATTAAGTACAATTTCCAGAAGTATTCAATTATTCATCTTTATGATTGTACAATTACTTAAGTCTACAAAGGAATAGCCAAAAGGTGGAAAAAATATTTATAATGATGCACTTGAAATATGTGTTTCTTAGAAATGCTTTGAATGTAGTGAAGAATGATTTGATAGCAAAAGTGGATGAACTGACCTGTGAGAAAGATGTGCTACAGGGGGAATTGGAAGCTGTGAAACAAGCCAAACTGAAGCTAGAGGAAAAGAACAAAGAATTGGAGGAAGAGCTCAGGAAGTAAGTTTTAACTGGATTGCTCTAATCCAAACTGTCTTTACCAGGGTGCCACAAAAGGTTAATTGAGACCAAGGCCTTCAGTTTCCAAACCAGGAAGGGCTGAGAGCTACCTGGAAAGCATGAAATGCCCCACTACTCTGCTATGAGCAGGCCCCTCCTTTTTCCAGCCTGTCATCTAAGCAGTACCATCTTTTTTTTTTCTTTCTTTCTAAATGTGAGAAAAGTTAGGATTATTTAATAAGGAAATTAAAATTCATATTTTCCTTCACCTAGCTTAGCTTTTTTCACCTAGCTTTTTTCAGAGGACTGCTGTTGTCCTCTCTTGTTTTAAAATGAGGTCTCATTATTTAGCCCAGGCATGCATTACTGAGCCCAGCTTGTTTTTTAAAGGAGTGCCATAATAACATTTTTTTTTAATGGAATGCAGCTAACTGGTACCCTTTTGTAGTTAAAACTGTCTACCTACTCTCATTATTTGAAATGATGAATTCAATTCAAATAATACATTTTATTTTTTTCCCACTAGAGCTCGTGCAGAAGCTGAAGATGCAAGGCAAAAAGCAAAAGATGATGATGATGTAAGTTTATAATTTTGGACTTTTTTTCTTTTCTTACCATGATATATATATCATAAAGCTTTAAAAAGTAAGAAGACATGTTCATGAATAGGATAGTTGATGCTTCCACATAGTCTGCAGATACTAAGCCTGCTAGCTACACGCTGTGTACTCATTTTTTCCTCTGGCTCTGAGCTGTGACCTCTGTTTTTATATTCAAGATCTTACTTAAAACCAACAAGGGTATTTGGGGTCTTTTTTGTGTATTGTTTTTGTTTCTTTTCTTTTTCTCTCTTTCTGTCTTTATTTGTTTGTTTATTTTGGAGGGGATACTGGGGATTGAACACAGGTCCTTGCATGCTAGGCCATTGAGCTATTTCCCTGGACCTCAAATTTTGGTTTAGAAATATAAAACCTTGGTAATAAAAGTTGTTTGGTAATATTTAACATGAAAAGATGAAGTCTGGGACTTTAATATTAGCCCATATTATTATCCTTATTTAAGAATAATAATTAACATTATGAATCCATCACCAAATTTCAGAACAAGAACATTACCAGCCATTGAGCTACCCTGCACTATTCCCATCCAGAGGAAACCATCACCCTTTATTTTTCATTTGCCCTACTTAAAAAAGAATAATTTTATCATACCATTTATATAAACAGACGGATGGACAGACACACACACACACACACATACACACACACCCCTACCAACCCTACAAAGTATGGTTTTCATTGTTTTTGTGTTTTGTACTACGTTTGGGGACTGGGAGGGTGGCTTAGTGGTAGAGCACTTTCTCCCAACTCAAGGACCTGGATTTAATCCCTGGCACCACCAAAACAAACAAACAACAACAACAAAAAACCCTATTTAATCTTGGAGTGTTGCTTCTGTTGCTTGATAGTATGTTTTTGAGATTCACCTATGTTGTAATATTGTGTTTGTAGTTCCTTAATATTCCATTATATGAATATTCTGCAAGTTACCTGTTTTCTTGTTAATATTTAGATGATTTTCAGCTTTTTATTACCACAAATAATGCTGTTAAGTCTTGTGTAGTTCAAGTCTTTTTTTGTTTTTGTTTTTGGCAGTACTTGGGTTTGAACTCAGGGCCTCATGCTTGCAAGACAGACGTTCTACCACTTGAGCCACTCTACCAGTCCAGTTTAAGTCTTTTGATACTGAGATTTGTGGAGTTTTTCCAGGGTATATACCTAGTAGTGGGATCTTTATTACTTGTGGCTGACTTTTATTTAAAAAGAAAAGAGCAAGTACTGTGACAGGAGGACAGTTGTGAAGACTGCTGAGGGCTAATCTCTACTTTAGTCTCACTCTTCCAAACCTTTCAGGTTTGATCCAGAATGTACATGCTCCTTTCAGCAAAGCAAAAGCCATACAGTGAAACCCACCCTTTGCCTCAGAAGAGGTTGAGAAATGAGCAGCAGATGGAAGTCAATTTGGATATGCCCTTTTGGAGTCTACTGCTCTGCATCCTCATGTTTACATCCTATTTTCTCTAGGGATAATTCTGTCTTAGACAACAGTCTCCATCTTTTTTGTATTTTTCCTGGTATTTAAGTCACTTTTGGTAACTAGGTAATAAGTTCACCATTTGTGCTGGCTCCTGGGTGTGTGTACAGATTGGTAGTTTGAGATACATGGACTTCCTTTGCAACTAACTTGTAACTATTTTTTGGATGACAGCTATTATACATAAATTTAATGTTAGGGCAACATTTCTAAGTAAAACTTACAAGAGCATACTAAATCTGTGTAGATAATAGTTAACTTTTTTGGTTTTAGTTCAAAATCTGTACTGTTTTTTGTAATTCCTTTATAATATATTTAAGTATCACTGTTTGTATTCAGAATTAAATTGCCTACCTCTTTTCAGTCATGAGCAATGATTTAGCTGTCTTTGTTGATTTTATTTTAAAAGGCCATTTTAAGCCTGTATTAGAAATTAAGGAATGCTTAAAACTTAATATTTTGCTTAAGTCTAAGGTTAACAGCAAATGATGTATAAGCTCCCAGAATAGTTTATCATCATCTTGTCATTCTAGAGTGATATCCCCACAGCACAGAGGAAGCGGTTTACTAGGGTAGAAATGGCCCGCGTTCTTATGGAGAGAAACCAGTATAAAGAGAGATTGATGGAGCTTCAAGAAGCTGTTCGATGGACAGAAATGATTCGGTTTGTATAAGAAGTGCTCTGGTGTTTTCCTAGTATTCTTTCATAGATTTATTCTGAACTAGAGTCTCTTCCTTGAGGGGCCAAGCTACTATCCTTGCTCTTTAGGAAGGACTTTCAAAATGACACTTGGATTAGTAACAGACCAGTATCAGAGACACAGGATCAAGTAAAAGTAGGTGTCTTGTGGGCCAGTATGAAATCTTGGGAGATGCACCCATAACCTGTAAAATGCAGTTGTTACTTAGAAATGGTGGTCAGTTTTCAAAAGAACATAGAAATTGTCAGTGTCAGGAAAAGATCAAAATTTCTTGTGTAACACAGGGAAAGCAAATCATTTTTACTTAGTGTCTTCCTATAAAATATATTTGCTTGATTTTTCCCTTTCTCTTTATGCAAAATGCACCTTCCACTGACATCTTTCAGTTAATTATATCTTTATTAACATGTATTAATTGTATGCATTAGTGGGCTTTAGTATATTATTTTAATAGTTGCAGTATAGTGTGCCTTAATCAAATTCAGCCTCTTTGTACCCACCTTCCCCACCTGCCAACCTCTAGTAATTACCGTTCTCCATTCATGCTGATTGGTTTTCTTTCCTTCTTTTTTTTTTTTAAACTTCCGTGTGTGAGAGAACATGCAGTATTTGTCTTTTATTGATTGTTGTCTCACCTAATGCTGTCATCTAGTAGTCTTATTCTCAGTAACAGTATTCCTTCCCTAATTCAGAAAGAGCTCACAAAAATTAGTTGTCCATTCATTTACCCATATTTTTGAAGTTGGATTGTCATAAGATTTACCAATAATTGGCACATTCTTTTCTAAGTTTATGAACATGTGTTCTAACCTCCAACTTTTACTTCTTAATTATTACATCATTTATTTAACAGTTTATTCTTCACAAATGTCATATTAGAATGAAGTGTTTTGTGTAACACATTTTGCAGTTTGCTATCATTGTAATTGCTGTTGCTACTGAGAATTAAGATTAGTATGCTAATCTTTGCTTACTGGACAAGGAAACTAACCTGAGAAATACGTTCTTACCTGCAGCATTTAGTAAGCATATCTAATAAATAGTGTATTTTAAAAACTGAGGGCATATAGCCAGGCTGTACAGTTCATTGCTTTTTAAAAAATCTAGCAGCTAAGTGGTAGTCAATAACTGAAAGGAAGTGATAGCTTACTTTTTACTTGTTCATTAATTTAAAAATGTTTTTAATTTAGTCCTTAGAGGCTCTGATAGGGTTGGCAGAATCCTTTCTACCTTACCAAATCAATTTGGAATATCTTCTTTTATGAAAGTTTGTTGAATTACCTGTCAATTCGGTTTAATCATCTCCCTGTTTCTAGTCATCCTATGGAAGCTACAGAAGTTTGTCCCATGAAAAATGACACATTAGAACAGTAAAGTTGCAAACTGTTTACTGAGAGCTGAGAGTGTAGGTGATAGAGACCATTATATATAGACAGGGATTAATAAGGCAATATTTTAAAAGGGAGAATAAGATGATATCTTAACAACAAAAAAGTTTTTATTTCTGTTTGTTTTATTGGGGTTTGGTTTTTGTTTTTTGAGACAGGCTGTCTCTGTATAGCTGAGGCTAGTCTCAAGCTTGCTGGTTAGTCCCATCTGGCTTGAAACTTACAATCCTCTTGCCTTGCTTCCTAACTGCTTGGATTGCAAGCAAATAGAACCCCACCTAGCTCAAAATTTTTAAGACTGTTGGGTACAGTGGTATGTGTCTTTTGTCCCAGCTACTTGGAAGGCTAAAGCAGGATTGCTTGAGCCCAGGAGATTAAGGCCAGTCTGGGCAATAGAGAACTTGCCTTTAAAAAAAAAATGAAATGGGAAAAATTTTAAATATTAACATTTAGGCATGTTGGGTATCTGTCCAACACAGATAATGATCATTAGACTGAAGGCTTTGAGGAGAGGTGAAATTTTATTTACCTTAGTAGTATTAGGTTTAACAGGCTGACTCATGATAGGTCAAAGTAACTACTTGCTGAATTTAATTGTTGACTGTCCTTATTGTATCCTTTGAAATCCTGAGGTCTTCTGTTCTTCAGATAGAAAGGTAGAGCACCTACCTAATACTTTTCTTTTTTTGTTTTTTTAACGTAGGGCATCACGAGAAAATCCAGCCATGCAAGAAAAAAAAAGGTCAAGCATCTGGCAGTTGTGAGTACATGAGGGACATTAGATAGCACTTTGAGACAAGATGATCATAGTTTTTTTGTTGTTCTTGTTGTTTGGGGTTTTTTGGCAGTTCTTTGGTTTGAACTCACAGCCTTAAGCTTGCTAGGCATACATTGTACCACTTGAGCCACACCTCTCGCCCATTTTTGCTTCAGTTATTTTTTTAGGTAGGGTCTCAGCATTTTTGTGATGTGATCCTCCTGCCTATGGTTCCCAAGTAGTTGGGATCACAGGCTTGTATCACCACGCCTGGCTTCTTGGTTGAGATGGGGTCTTACTACTTGTGATTGATCATAGATGTGAGCCACTGCCCCCTGCCTCAATTTTTTTTTTCAACTGAGAGAAAATAGCTTAACTGAAATTCTTCTTTTGATATACAGTGTGCCGACTCGGTAAGGCTGTTCTTGAGGACCAAAAATAAGCTATCGTAAGCTGCATCATGTTGGTTATGCATTTGGTAGAATCCTTTGCCAGATTAAATAAAATAATGGGGAGTTATTTACAAAGTTGATGACTACATGGATCCCAATTAAATTACTGATTTGGTGTTTGTAAGAAACTTCACAAAGTGAACATGAGAAATTTACTGTTTGTGGGGTTTGATTGGTATGTGCATGTTAAATTTTATTATGTTTGTGCCAGAAGTACTATGTATATATTATGTTAAAACTTTCCCTTTTGGGATCAATCTGCTAAATAATGGAATCATAACATTTTAAAACTGTGGATATGGAAGTCGTTACATAAATTGAGCTTAATTAGAAAATACATAAGACGCACTAACTTGGTAATATGTGTTCTAATACATTATTATAATAGACTGTTTTTAGAACTGGCATACTAAGCTGTTCAGATCTCAAAGCCCTAACTTTGCTGCTTAACAACCACTCTTACATTGCACCAAGTGGGAGGTAGCTAAGAAACCATTTTATTATCTTTATTCAATACAGGTTCCCTATGCTCAAGGGCTTCTCCCTTTCATTATGGAGATTGCTAATTAAAGAACAGACACCTTGCATTCTAATAGAATCATTTCTCTTCCCGAACATCTGAGTTAGGCTGTGAGTTTCTGCTAGAACTGCAGTGTGTGACTACAGAAATGGTTTTTGCAAATTTCTAACTCATTGCCTTGTAAAAGCACTGTGGGAGTTTCTTTTTTTAGATTTTTGGGGATCAAACCTAGGGCCTTGTGCATGCCAAGTGCACAAGTGCATGCAAACTCTACCACTGAGCTGTATCATCAGCCCTGGAATTTTCTTGGAGATAAAAATTTGTTGAAAATTGTGGATTATTCTTTATAGTGCATGTGATAGGCACAATTTATCCTTTCTTAGTTTCAGCCGACTATTCAGCTCCTCAAGTAATACAACAAAGAAGCCTGAACCACCTGTTAATTTGAAGTACAATGCACCCACCTCTCATGTTACTCCTTCTGTCAAGAAAAGAAGCAGCACTTTATCTCAGCTCCCTGGGGATAAGTCCAAAGCCTTCGATTTCCTTAGTGAAGAGTGAGTATTTTCCAGACTAATGATCATAACCAAAGTAAACTAAGAGGTTAGAGTTTCCTTGTGTCTTATCAGCTCTTTTATAAGGGTTCAGATAAATATATAAAGAAACTATTTCTGTAAGTTGTCAACCTTTAAACAAATTACTTGTAGCCAATACTTTTTATGAAAATTGCATTTCTGTTTCTATGAACAGAAGGATTATTTTTTTTTAAATGCCTAATTTTTGTTGATAGGACATTGATCAACACTAATACAAATGTTAAAGGCTTATGTAAGCCATTACCCTAAATGTTTGAACATTTCCTTTGGTGTCAAAGGACTTGATTTTCCCTTTTGACTCTGCTACTCATTAGGTACATACACTTGGATAAATTTACCTGTTAGAGCCCATTTTCTGCCTGAAAAATGATTGTAACTTACCTCTCAAAGGTGTTAGGATTATACTGTGCAGTATCTGTAAAGCATCCAACATATAGGTAGATTTGTTAACTGTGATCTACACAGCAGGCCACCTCATAAAAATTTAAAGAATCAAAAGAAAAATTACTTTTAGAATCATTTTCATCTTTGCTCTATAGCTCCAAAGCTTAGTAAGTCAATTTGCATTTTTGTCTTCTGAAATAAGTTAGTAGGATTTAAAATTTAATATAGATTATCATGTAAGTAGATACTGAATTGTTTTTCTTTTAGTCACTTCTAGCACAGTCCCTGGCACTGGAAATTTCTCAGTATTTGTTGAATAAACAAGAAGAGGAAGAGCTGAAATTACTTCAGAATTTTTTTCTTTTATATATTCAGTATCTGAAACCTGATAGAAATTAGTAGGACAGGCCATTTTACTAACCTGTTGAAGCTCTGCTACACAGCTTTAATAAATCACTTTTTAAAGAACTGTTGCAGTCTGAATGACCAAGCTTGGGATCAAGTAATTTTTGTTGTTTGTTTGAGGTTTTTTTTTTTTTGCTATTTTTGCGAGAGAGGAGATACACTTTTGTTATATTCACTTAATTGAGAAAGGAAATCTCATCCTTTTAGATCCGAGGCTAGTTTAGCCTCACGCAGAGAACAGAAGAGAGAACAGTACCGTCAGGTAAAGGCACATGTTCAGAAGGAAGATGGTAGAGTGCAAGCTTTTGGCTGGAGTCTGCCTCAGAAGTACAAACAGGTAACTTGTGAATGTGCTAAGTGTCTAACGGAAAATATCGAGAAAGAAGAGAGTACTCTTGACATTGATCAGTAAAGGATTTTAAATACAAATCCTAAACATGCTCATTTCAAGCTACTTGGTCTCAGCACACGTTTAGAGATGTGTGGAGGGTAGTAGTTTTCAGGCTGTTTTCTAGAGCCCTGGAGTGTGCATGAAACACTTCTGTGTTTGTATCCCTAAAACACTCAGCACATTTGTGTACAAACATGCACACATGTGTGCATTAGTGCCTCTTTTCTGAGTTCCCTGAGTTTCCTACTTCTTTTCTTTAATTACTACTTGATTTTCTGCTTATTTTTCAAGTAAGAATGACAGATTCAACCTGAACTTGATTTCAGGAGCACATATGTAGCAACAGAGCTTGCCAATATGTCATAGTTCTGTAAGAAGTTCATTTTTGATGAGGCTTTCACCAATGTGTGTTCCCCTCCCTTAATAGGTAACCAATGGTCAAGGGGAAAATAAGATGAAAAATTTACCCGTGCCTGTCTATCTCAGACCTCTAGATGAAAAAGATGCATCAATGAAGGTAAGCTAGTTATGAAATTACAGGAGATAGTTCCCAAACTCTGGGTAGATTTTTTTTTTCTAAAACAGAAAATGTTTTATTACTGCATTTGTAGTGAGATTTTTGATCATTTTATAGCTTTAAAATATTAAAGAACTGTGTTTAGGCAGGATTGTGTGGCTTATGCTTATAAGCCCAGCTACTTGGAAGGTGGAGATTTAGGAGGATCATGGTTTGAGACCAGTCCAGGCAAAAAAGTTAGTGAGACCTCATATCACAAAACAAAAGAAAAGTGGGATGTGGTGAAGCACAACTATAATCCCAGCTATGAAGGAAGCATAAGTAGGAGGATAGAAATCCAGGCTGGCCAGAGCAAAAATATGAGACCCAATCTCAAAAATAACCAAAGCAGAAAGTGTGGAGGGTGTGGCTCAAGTGATAGAGTGCCCTCAGTGTGAGACCCTGAGGTCAAAGCCCAGTATGGCCAAAAACAAACTACCATGAATTATTTTAAGAAAAGGTTATAATTTTTACATAGTTGTAGAGAGAAAAATGACGTAATAATACCTTTCTTCTCTCTCCATCTCTGCCAATCTGAGAAGCTCTGGTGTGCTGTTGGAGTCAATTTATCTGGTGGAAAGACCAGAGATGGCGGTTCTGTTGTTGGAGCAAGTGTCTTTTATAAGGACATTGCTGGCTTGGATACTGAAAGCAGTAAACAGCGAAGTGCATCTCAGAGTAGTTTGGATAAGTTAGATCAGGAACTTAAGGTAAGTGTAACTTCCTGGTTTATGAGAGTATTAGTTTAGCTCTAAAGGCCAAAATTTAAGTCAGGGTCCAACCTCTAATTGGGATTGCTATGCACTTGCTGATTCTCCCCCACTTCTTTTAAAATGGTTTTATTGAGGTGCTATTTACATACAATCAAGTGTTTACTTGAATAGCTACAGTTCAGTCTTGCCAAATATATACATGTATGTAACCACCACCAAAAGAACATATACACTATTTATATCACTGATCTGTAATTTTTAGTCTAGTAACTAGTACTAATAAGTGTTTATATTTTTATTCTTCTAAATAAAGTGGAAATAAGTTTGAAGTTGTATTGCTGGGCCAGGTGTGGTGGTGCGTGCCTATAATCCCAGCTACCTGGGAGATGGAGATTGGGAGGATCAAGGTCTGAGACTACAAAAAATAACATGTTAAAAAAGGCTGGCAGAGTAGCTCAAGTGGTAAATTACCTGCCTATCAAGCAAGAGGCCCAGAGTTCAAATGTCAGTACTGCTTCACCCTACCCTAAAAAGTATTGTCTTTTACTGTAATGACACAACCTTAGGAATATTTACACATGCATATGATTTAAAACATTCATTTTCCTTACTTTGGCTACTTAGGAACAGCAGAAGGAGTTAAAAAATCAAGAAGAATTATCCAGCCAAGTCTGGATCTGTACCAGTACTCATTCAGCTACAAAAGTTATCATCATTGATGCTATTCAACCAGGCAACATCCTAGATAGTTTCACTGTTTGCAACTCTCATGTTTTGTGCATTGCAAGTGTCCCAGGTAAGAATGAGTCCTGCATCTCTCTTTCCACTGTCTACACCTCCTTCTAGTCAGGAACAGAATTGGCTGCAGGAACAGAATTTATTTATGCACTTCTTCTCATAGAATTTATGTCCTACTTCGAGAAGATCAAAATAAACTGAACCATTGGATAAGCAAGATATTTTCAAATGTTGAAAAATACTATAAAAGGGCTGGCAGAGTGGCTCAAGTGGTAGAGGCGTGCCTAGCAAGCGTGAGGCCATAAGTTCAAACCCTAATACTGCAAAAAAAAAAAAAAGAAAAAAGAAAAAGAAAAATATTGTGAAGAGAATAAAATAATAGTAATATGAACTAATACCTGGGAGGCAAAGGACAAGGAGCCATTTTGGATTAATTAGTAAAGGAAGTTCTGCTAAAGTTCTGGATTAAATGTACAATGTGGAACCATTAATTCAAAAATTGAAAAGTCCTAGGCTGAATATTATTCAGCCATAAAGGAATGACATTCTTTTATTTTATTTTATTTTATTTTATTATGATAAGAATACTTAATATGAGGCTGGTGGAGTGGCTCAAGTGGTAGAGCACCTGCCTAGCAAGCATGAAGCCCTGAGTTTTAAAAAAAAAAAAACAGTTACTAATGAAATTTTTTTGACACAGGGTCTTGCTATGTAGCCCAGACTGGCCTCAAACCTCAAGGTCCTGTTTTCCTCAGCCGCCTGATTGCTGGGATTATAGATAATGTGCCACAAGGCCTGGCTCTATTAATAACCTTTTCTCTGTACAATACAGTATTGCTGTCTATGGGTAAAAGTTCTGACATGATATAATATGGATGAACCTTGTAAACACACTGAATGAATTAAATCAGACACAAAAGGACATATGGTGTATGATTCCATTTATGAGAGATACCTAAAACAGGCAAATTCAAAAGACTGAAGGAAATAAGAGGTTACCAAGGGGTGGAGTAAGAGAGAATAGAGTTATTGTTTAATGGGCATAGAATTTCTATGTGAGATGATGGGAAATTTTTAGAAATAGTTATTGGTGATGGATGTGAAATATTGCTAATGTAACTGGTGCCAATGAATTGTACGCCTTAAAATGGCTAAAATAAAGCTGGGCAAGGTGGTATACACCTGTAATCCCAGCACATGAAAAGCTGAGGCAGGAGGATAATGAGTTCTAGGGGAACCTGGAACACACAGAGAAACTCTGTCTCTGAAAAAAATAATAAAGGCTAAAATAACTTTTATATCACTTATAAAAACTTTTACTCTAATGTGATATGAATAAAAACAATTTTCTAAATAAAAACACTGTGGAGCTTTATCTTTATACTATAAATGTCTTACTAATATATTAAGCCACTTAGACTAATTAACTTTTAATGGTAGTAGATAGAAGCCCTTATTTCAAACAGTAATTTTTTTTTTAAATTGTTTTTAACCTCAGGTGGCTGCAGAGGCTCTCATTAAGAACAGAAGTGTCTCATCCTAGTTCTCAATATGTACTTTGCCCAATTTCTAATCCATATGAAAAGACTCCTAAAAGATCTTTGTAGTCAGATCTAAGATTGTATTACAAATTTTAAAATCGTCCTTGAACAAAATGACCCTCCTCAGATCTTGCTTCTGTTAAGTGGTAAAAACCACAATGGAAATTGACTCTTCTAAAAGTTGTATTTACTCCAATTTTGTTTTGTGTGTGAGTAGCTATTGTTGAGGTTTGATTCATTTATATTTGCTCTGTGTTTCTTTGATTAGGAAATATTCTTCATATATGTCCTATTTGTACCTTGAAAATCTCGTCTTGGATTTCATAAGACATTGTCTAACTTTTGCCTTAATATGAGCGTCATCTGGTGAATTCTGAAACATCAGTAGAAAGCTAATGCTGTTTGGCATTTGTTCCATTCAAATGTTAATTTCAGATGGGAGTATAAACTAGTAGATAGAGTTAATAGAGCTAGTTTGAATTAATCTGTTTTTATGTTTGGGGGGAAAAAAAACAAGATGTGATATGGAAGTACATGTTTTACCATTGTTGCTTGGCCACATTTGTTAACTGATCACATTGCATTGCATATTGGCTGCTTGAAAACTGATCAGTTTTCTTCATTATTTATTATGTAAATAAGCTTGGGGGGGTGGTTCTGGGGTTTGAACTCAGGGCCTTGTACTTGCTAGGCAGGCGCTCCACCACTTGAGCCGTGTCCCTAGCCCCAAATTTTCAATTCCTGTTATATGAGACCCTTTCCTGGTTTTTAAATTATTATTGTCTAAAATTAAGAAATCCAGGTTATATCTTTAAAAAAAACTTCTTAAAATGTTTTTCATTTATACTAACAGAAATATTATTTTACTTTTTATTTTCCCATTTTGTCTAGGTTAGTTCAAATAAATTTGATGCTGTCATCTTGGCAGTGTTTTTTGCTTGTTTGTTTTTAATGCAGATTGGCATTTGAACTCAGGGCCTACAGCCCTTTTTTGTGAAGGGTTTTTTCAAGATAGGATCTCCAGCTGTTTGCCCGAGCTGACTTTCAACTGTATCCTCCTAATCTCTGCCTCTTGAGTAGCTAGGATTACAGTCGTGAGCCACCAGCGCCCAGCTTGACAGTATATTTTAATAGTTGTATGTCTCACTCACACACACTTATCTCAAATCTAGAGTTGCTTTAATGGGAAAAATGCTGTTTATAGGGATTCACTTAACTATTAGAAGAAGTTGGTCTCTTTTCAGGAGCCCGGGAAACAGACTATCCTGCAGGAGAAGAGCTTTCAGAATCTGGTCAGGTGGACAAAGCGTCTTTATGCGGAAGCATGACCAGCAACAGCTCAGCAGAGACGGACAGTTTGTTGGGAGGCATTACAGTGGTTGGTTGCTCCACAGAAAGTGTGACAGGAACTGCCACTTCCCCTAGTACCAATGGTGCTTCTCCAGTGATAGAAAAACCACCAGGTAAACCTGTTCTTGTTTGCCGTCTGTGTAGAGTGTGAGCCTACCCCAGGATGTCCCATTGTCAACTTGTGGATCTTCAAGTAATGATGCAAGAGCTGGAAAAAAAGATCCATAATGCCTCTACCATGAAATTAAGAGTTCTCAGTTTCACAGTACAGTGAAGGAGGGGTTGGTGAAGTAGAGTTCCGTAGCAGCTCAAACTTAGAGTATTTTTTTTGTATTTTATAGAAATGGAGGTGGAGAATAGTGAAGTTGATGAAAATGTTCCAACAGCAGAAGAAGCAACTGAAGCCACAGAAGGCCATGCAGGCTCTACTGAAGATACTGTAGACATCTCCCAAACTGGCGTGTACACAGAACATGTTTTTACAGATCCTTTAGGAGCTCAAATTCCAGAAGACCTCTCCCCAGTGTATCAATCAAGGTCTGCACCCTAAGTCAGTAACCTGGGAGACTGGATAGAGTGCATAAATAAAAAGAACCAAAATAATGTCAAATAGCCAAAATATTACCACTAACTGGCATCCTTATAGTGGACTAAAAGATGTTACTGCTTTTTCCCGTTGTTTTCCTCTGTTCCCTGCTGGTTATTCTCTGTGGATACTTTTCTTCCCCCATCTCTTCTCTATTTCTTCCAACATTAAAAAAAAAAAATCTTATCCACAAAGTAGATTAATCTAGACCCATTTAGTAAATTCTTTATTTCTTCTTTTTTTCCTCTCTCTCTTTTTTGCCTTCTCTAGAGCCTCTTAGATGAGGGTCTCTAAACTGAATCCTTTTTACAATTTAAGATTATTTCTTAGTTTATAGAACTTGAGTCTATTAACATTTAATCATTAATTTAGTAATAAAGTTATGTTTTGAATTTGATTGCTAAATGTGCCTTGGCAATCCAAAAGAAAGGTTTAGGATTAGAATATAAGTATATTTCAACCTAATTTATTTTAGAAAATTCTTTATACAACAGCCTCCTGTGTGGTTTGGTGTATGGGTGTATGTGTGTTTGAAACATCCCCCAGAAGAAACTATCATGAACTTCAAGATAAATATAAGGGAGAATAATAGTCTGCGTATTAACTGCTAAATTTCATTACCATGTCTTATTCCCTTATATGCACTTTGGGCCTCCTAGTGTTTTACTATTTCTGGTACAATCATTCAGATATTTAATATTTAACATTAGCTTTTTTGGAACTTCAGTGTTTGATTTTTTTTTTTTGTAGTTATAAACTTAAATGCAGAAATGTTTAGTCCCTGAAACTAAGTATACTATAAGTATACTTACACTTTTTTTTTCTTGTGCTCCACCTTCCCAGTAATGACTCAGATATGTATAAAGATCAAATATCAGTATTGCCAAATGAACAGGACCTGGTGAGAGAAGAAGCCCAGAAAATGAGTAGTCTTTTACCAACCATGTGGCTTGGAGCTCAAAATGGCTGGTAAGTGTTAGCACTTCTAATACGACAATATCTTTAGTCCTGACATTATACTTTTGGAAAACAAAAGATAAGTAAGTAAAATGGGTAAACACAAATGCAAACAAAAAGAGTTTACATTTTTTGTTAACTCTTTATACAAAGAACTTTATATGCACATGAACTTTGAAGTTTAATTGAAACTACCTCATAAACTAGACTTGTATTTGTTTTGAATGGCAAACTGTATTTTTTTGCCATAGAATGTTCTCTTTATATAATACTCTTACAAGAAGAGGTAAGTAAGATTTTAAAGTCTGGTTAGTTTAGAAATAGAAGATCCTGAACAGCACAGAGACGAAGAATTATTGATACAAAGAATGTTTATACTAGGCACTGGTGGCTCACACCTGTAATCCAACCTACTCAAGAAGAATGTTCATATAGATTGGGATGTTGGCAGGAAAAACTAGGGATTAAACTAATGTGTTTGGCTGTGGGAAAGAAGGCCCAGTCCCAAACATAACTTTTTGGTAGAGTTGCTAGAAACCAGAGCAAATGAAGCCTGAAAGCTCAGAGGATAATAACTAACATTATATAGTTTGTTCACTTTCTAGTAGCATGGGGAATCTTATAGAGGTTAAGTAAGATGACCCATGTTTCTTTTCCATAGGGGTACAGTACTATGAAATGAGGGATCAGTAAGCCTTTTGTGACTGTTCCAATACAACTTTAAGTTTGGACATGAAGATTTGAATTTCATTTAAAATCTCACATCATGAAATGCTCTTCTTTTAATTTTTTCCCTTAACCATTTAAAAATACAAAAATTAACTCTTTATTTGCAGGCTATACTAAAACAAGTAGCTGCCTGGATCTGTCCTATAGGTCATAGTGACTATCTGATATGAATGACTCTGTCACCCAAAAGTTCAATGTAGTAAAGATGTGAAATAATTCATAGAAAGGGTTTTATCCAGAAACTGAAGTATGGGGCAATCTAAAACTATCTGGTGCCTTTAAGTGGTATTACTAGTTAATACTAAGCACTAGTCCTGACTTTTCAGTTTCTGTGTGTTTCTGTTTCTTTGAACAGCCTATTTCTCTGTCTTGGGCCTACCCTGGCCCTCATTTTTGTTTTCTGACTATTATACAAAGCAGGAGCACCTTTTCCTAAAATTTGCATGTTACTCTTCTTTCCTCTTGGAAAAACTCTGTGGTCATTATAAGCAACAACTTGATATTCTCTATGCTTTACCTGTCTTAACTTTGTTCCTGCAGTTTGTATGTCCATTCATCTGTAGCCCAGTGGAGGAAATGTCTCCATTCAATTAAACTTAAAGACTCGATTCTCAGTATTGTGTAAGTTTTATTTTTTAAATTCTTCCTTTTAAAAGTGTTTATTCTTGTATAAACTACAGTTTTAAGACTGTTAAAGTTAATATGTATTGCATGACTAAATCAATATCCAAGTGTAGTTGGTTGATTTTAACTATTTCTAACTAGAGAAGTTGAGCAAGAATGCAATTTTGTAATAGAAAGTAAAGTAGAAAATGTTTAAGAAAAAGAGAAAACTTACCAGACTGATACTTCACTTTAGTACCTGAGGGAGAGAACCAATACCTATTAACTTGTGTGTGTTTTAGAATATTCTTTATAGTTTTTGAATATGTTGGTTGGGGCATTAGTTTGCTAGTCCTTTTTTACATTTTGACTACCAAAATTCTGACAAGTTTTGTCTCTCAGTTCACAGAGCTGACTGTTTTACTCAAGGGGTTGTCTCTGGTTCTTAGAGTGATGAGAGGAGGAGCTTAGGTGAAAAACGCAAACAACTGAGATAGTACATGTGCTGTTTATTTGGTTCAGCTGACATGTTTCATAGCAAGATGCTCACAGCGAAGGCAGCAGGGTGTTTGTTCATTTAAGGCTATGTCAGTGCCTCATCTCACTACAAACCGGCCCTTTAAGAGGTTCTGCATTTGTGCAAAAGCATATGGTCTATTCTGTGTTCTCAGTGGAGGTTCTGAAACCCCCTTTCCTGTTTGCAGACATGTGAAAGGAATCGTGTTAGTGGCTCTGGCTGATGGCACCCTCGCAATCTTTCACAGAGGAGTTGGTGAGTGATTAGGAATATATAACACGTACCCTAAATTTTTGCTTTGCATTTTCAAGCAGATTGGCTTTTATGTTTTAAAGAAATGATATTTAAGAGGGCAAAGAATAAAGGTTTAATGTTAACAATATATGACATCAGAAAATATATGAGCCTTTGTAGAGGTATGCATTGATAGTGTACTTGTTAGAAAATGTATTTACCATAGTGAATGAGGAATTTTAGCTTTTTTTGTGGGGAGGGGGACCATAATACGGTGGAGGCATTCGTTTTACACTCAAAACAAATTTATTTTCTCAGTTAGAAAATAAATTGATAAGATTAGTTTTTCTTTTGTCCTGGGTTGTGTGTGTGTGTGTATGTGTATGTACATATATATAATATATAATGTATATTTTTTACAAAGGACAAAAAAGTGTTTTTCTCACCTTGTCCTATGTTTTAAAGATAATTTGCATCTACTTACATTTGGGGAGTTTTGAGGTTATTTTTGGTAGTACTGGGGTTTGCACTCTACCTCTTGAGCTACACCTCCAGCCATTTTTTGCTTTAGTTATTTTTCAGATAGGGTCTCCGCTTTTTGCAATGGTAGAACTTGGAACACAATCCTCCTACCTCTGCCTCCCATGTGGCTGAGATTAAAGGCATGCACTACCACACCTGGCTCATTTGGAAAGTTTTCTTTAAAAACATTTTTAATTGAAGAAATTTTTAGTCATTTTAATGTTTAAAACTATTGTTTCTACCATTACAGACAGAATGGTTTGAGAAAAACTTGCCTAGAATGGGTTAAATTAAGGGAATTTAACTCTTTGGCAGATGTGTCATCCAAATGATACTTAATTTTCTACCCACTAGGTAGGTAGATCAGGGAAGAATTATGAAAATATAGGTATACTGAATTTGGATTTTAGCAAGTCTTTTCACAAAATTTCATATCCTTTTGGGCTTAAAGATATGTGAGGTACAATATTGCTCTCATTTCATTCTGGTTTCCCTGGTGTTTGTTGGATTGTGATTGATATTTATTCTTCCCTTAAATTATCTTTACATTAAATATATAGCATACATTCTTATTGAATTACTGTTTGTTCCTCTACAGACACTGGGAAATATCACTCTTATAATTTTAACTCAGTATTGCTGTTTTGCTGTTGAGAATTGTTATGTTTACTTAATTTTTACTCCTTTGAACATCCCTTTAGCACTGCTACTTAGAGTTCAGTGCCTATATATAAATTAATTCTTACTAGTTCTTTATGATAAAGCACAGAGAGAATATTACAGAAGTTTAGAGCAAATCAGCAGAAAAATTTTACTTATTGTATATCTAATAATAAAATTGTCATACTTTTGTAACTGCAAAAAAAGATGTGAGGTAGATGGCATTTAGACACCTTTGTAACTGTAGAGATTGCTGGTTAGTGACTTCATATTATCAAAGAGGGAGCTTTATTTTACCTTGTTTAGGCCCTATATAGAATTTTATTTGTTTAATCTTTCATAACAACTTATGAGGAAGGTTCTGTTGCCTTCCTCATTTTATAGATGAGAAAATTGAGGCACAGAGCATTTTAGTCACCTGTTCATGGCCTTTCAACTAGTAAATGAAAAAAATTAAATAATGTTTTGATAAGCTGAATCCAAAATCATATTGACAGAATAAGACAAAGTACATTTATTAAAGATCAATGTAAAGTACTGCTTTGGAGTTCAGAAGAGCAAGACATTTCTGAGGAGTGAGAATTACCTAAAGGTTGACTGTAACTCAATTTGAGGCAGTTCACTTTTAAAACCTCTTAGAAACAAAATGTCCAGAACAGGGCTGGTGATCCTGCTGTACTTGGCTGGTTTGACAACATATGGGCATCAAGAAAGCAGAATGAGAATGAAAAGTCTATAAACATAATAGGTACAAAGCACATGCCACAGATGCTTAGTTTTGGAAGGAAAAGACATTTGGCCATAACAAAGTTAGGACTATTTATTCTTTGTGTTTCCACTGGACAGAACTGTAGTCTAATGAATGATAATACACAAGTGTCATTTGGCACTCAAAGTTTTGGATTTGGGAGCATTTCAGATTTCAGATTTACAGATTAGGGAATGTTCAAACTGTATGCACAATTTCTAAAGTGTTAGTAATGTGTTGCCCTCAATATCTACCCAAGGAAAATCCATTAAAATGCTAGTGACTGAAGGCATATTATCCCCCAGATAACCTTAAATCCATTTGTGTGTGTGTGTATGTGACTGCTAGGTATTGAACCCAGTATTATACATAATAGACTAGCACTCTGAGCTATACCTTCTGCTTTAAGCCCATTTTAATTCTAAAAATACTATCTTGCATCACTGCTTTTGAAAGCCTGTTTTAAAGGGGGTCCAGATACTGGGTGGCAAATTGAATCAGGTGACTTTTTTTTTGGCAAAACTGGGAGTTGGACTAGGGCCTTGCACTTGTAAGGCAGGCGCTCTACCACTTAAGCTTCTCTAATAGCCCTCAGATGAGATCACCTTTGAGATCTCTTTGAACTTTTCAGTTTATGCAGATAAAAGATACCTTTGATTCATCAATACGAAGTGCTATGATTAACTATGACATATTTCTTGTTTTAAAGATGGGCAGTGGGACTTGTCAAACTATCACCTCTTAGACCTTGGACGGCCTCACCATTCCATCCGATGCATGACTGTAGTGCATGACAAAGTCTGGTGTGGCTATAGGAACAAAATCTACGTGGTTCAACCAAAGGCTATGAAGATAGAGGCAAGTTAGCTTATATTTTCTACGTTTACTGAATTTATGTTACCCAAACACTATAAACCTATTTATTTTTAGCTTCTTTAGAAATTTTTTTTTGAATCTGTGTGTTTTATAGCAGCACCTCAGTGGTACTTTTTTAATGTCTTAGCTTTCTATGTTACTTCACTTCCCTTGTCATTTTTGACTATGAGGGTAGGTTAAATCTGAGGGGGGTTTTTTGTTTTTTGATGGGGGTACTGGGGTTTGAACTCAGGGCCTCAACTTGCTAGGAAGGTGCTGTGCCGCTTGAATCACTCCTCCAGCCCTTTTGTGTGTGTATGTGTGTGTTGGATATTTTCAGAGCTAGGGTCTCACAAACTATTTGCCCAGACTGGCTTTGAACCGTGATCTTCCTGATCTTTGTCTCCAGAGTAGCTAAGGTTACACGTGTGACCCACCAGTGTCCATTTGTGTTGTTTTTTAAGAAAGAGGATTCACATGTAACTGTTACAGGTCTGTACGTGTATCTGTAGATGTATATGGATTTTATATGAATACATGGTTCTTAATATGTTTAATGATACAAGGATTGATTGAGAGGAGGATTCCCAAGTCCCCCATGCCCACCCCATGTGTATCCAGGCACATCCACAGTATGTCACAAACTGAGAAATGACATTCAGTGAGAATTCATTGTAAAAACAAAAATCTCTTAGTATTGTTTCCTTTAAAAGTTTTTGTCACAATATAGAAATTCATTCTAAGTATTTAAAAAAAAAATAAAACCTTGGCCTAGTGGAATGATTCAAGTGGTATAGCACCTGGGCCTTGAGTTCAAACCCCAATACTACCCCCAAAAAAAAAAAACCAAAAAAACTTTACAAGAAGAAAGTTTTAAGATGAAATTTCTACTTTTCCCCTACCCCAGATTCTATTCCCTTCTTTAGAAAACCCAGGGTTAACCATTTGGTGTTTATTTTTCATGCCTACTTTTTTTTTTTGGAACTTGTATGCTACCACTTGATCCACTCTTTATACAACAGTGTGGGTTCTTTTTGTTTAATTATGAATAGGATCTTACCTCATGTGTTGTTCTGCAGCAACACAAAATTCTGAATAATAATCTCTGTTGAACACTGTCAAACAGTGTGGATGTGCCAGCATTGCTTTCATAAGTTATACATTACTAATGTCTGATAGCGTTTGGTTCTTTTTTCTTAATTTATTTATTTTGCATCCTAGGATGAAAGAAATCATGTACAGAAGAGTAGTTGTATCAAGTAAATAATATTTAGGCCCCTCCTTTAATAGTCTCTAAATTATTATGCATGTTATTAGTTTTTAAACATGATCTCCTATCTAACAAAAGTAACTTTGTGTTTGGACATCTCTCCTAGAAATCATTTGATGCACACCCCAGGAAGGAGAGCCAAGTAAGGCAGCTTGCGTGGGTGGGTGACGGTGTGTGGGTCTCCATTCGTTTGGATTCCACGCTCCGTCTCTATCATGCTCATACCTACCAACATCTACAGGACGTGGACATTGAACCTTATGTAAGCAAAATGTTAGGTAAGCTTTCAAAACCTTTTCTCTTTGCCAAAGAGAAAGTTTTGTTTTTATTTGTTTGTTTGTTTGTGGTACAACAGATCAAACCCAGGATCTTGCACATGCTAGGTAAACATGCCACTACTGAGCTACACCTCCTTTTTAAATGGTCTGAATGGACCAGTGAATAAATCGCTTCAGTAATAGTGAACTCTTATCACTGAAAGTATTGGGCAGATGCTTCATTGTATCTTGTGAAACTTGAGGATGTTTTTGATTCATTCTTTCTTATTCCCCACATCTAATTCATCACCAAGAATTCTTGTCAAGTCTAAAAATGTCTGAAATTAATTACTTCTCTATCTTGACCACTATTCCCCTAAGCCAGGTTATCATTCTTTGTCCTCTGGATAATGTTGTGCCTCCTACATGTTCTCCCTGTTTCCATTCCAATCTATTCTTTGCACAGTGACCAACCTTCATATACTTCTCCTCTTGCCTTCAGTGGGGTGATATTTTGTATCATGACTAGGCAGTCTTACAGTGGTTCAGAGTAATCTGCTCAATTTCTTCTACCCATACTGACCTTCCCATTTCAGGACCCTCACAGGTACTATATCCTCTGCCTAACAAATTCTTCTTGGCTTTTTTTACTTAGCTGTCAGGTCACATACCATATCCAAAAGGAACCTTCATTTAAGTCCTCTCATACTTTTTTTTTCATGGACTTATTAGTGTGATTACACCAGTATTGTATGATTCTTGTTTATTGTCTCTTCCCCCACAGACCATAAGCCCCATGAAGGGCAGGGTCCATATCTGGTCTTGTTCTCTGCCATATATTTTTAGCACCTGATCCAGTACCATGTGACTATTAGGAATGATATAAAAGACTCCTTTCATAAAGAAAAGTTGAACCTGATTAGTGGTTTTTAATCTCTGTCCAGTTATTGCCCTCAGAGAAACTGTGTACCTTCCCCATAGAATCAGGCATGTAGAAACATACACACAAACAAATTCCAGAGTTTAAGTTAAAGATTACTAGCTGAGACTGAATGGAAGTTAAGGCTCCTTCTGACACTAGTTCTATGATTGGGCCCTCAGTTTTGTTTTTGTTTTTGTGGTACTGGGATTTGAACTCAAGACCTTGCACTTTCTAAGCAGACATTCTACCACTTAAGCCCTACCCCAAATCCTTTCCACTTTAGTTACTTTTTGAGTAGGGTCTTGCGTTTATACTCAGGGTATCCTGAACTGTGATCCTCCCACATAGCTGGGATGACCAGCATATGCCATCATGCATAGGTATTGGTTGGAATGGTGGGGAGGGGGTTATGAACTTTTTGCCCAGACTGGCCATGATGTAATCCTCCTGATCTCTGCTTCCTAATAGCTAGATTTCCAGGCGTGAGCCACCATGCCTGGTCCCTCAATTCTTGTAAGTAGAACTTAAGAGTAACTGATGTTGTTTATCTTAAATGTATTATATGTTTAATCATTATACCTCTCAAATCGCTGAAAATAAAATAAAAATCATTTATACAATTTTTTAATATAAAAATGTGTTTATTCTCCCTAAATTATTATTTATTATATCCTGATATTTCTAAACTGCTTTAGAGCCTAATTATATAAACAAGGGAAAAAGTATGTTTTGTTAGCAAAAAATTGTTTTTCTCTAGGCAAAGAAATTTAGGGCAAACCAGGAATTTTGGAGTTTTTTTGTTGTTTGAGGTACTGATGTTTAAACTCAGGGCCTCTGTACTTGCTAGGCAGGTGCTCTACCACTCGAGGCACTTTACCAGCCCTTTTTAGTGTTGGGTATTTTTGAGACAGGATCTCTTGGACTAGTTGTCTGGCTGGCCTTGAACTGAGATCTTTATCTCTGCCACCTGAGTAGCCAGGAATACCTGTGCCTGGGGCAAACCTAAATTTTTTTAACTAATAAAATCAAATCATTTAATTTCCCAACCTAGTAAGCTCTGGTTTTGGTTAGATTTCTTTTTTTTTTTAGTTTGATTTTGCAGCTCCCTAATAAAATTCTGTGTTGTATTTCCTAATGTACTTTATTTCCTTTATACCTTCCTTCTGGCTGACAATGTAATGCTGGCCACTTTTAGAATTTTTTTTCCATTAATCATGACTTGTCTGATAGGTGATAAAGCCAAATAAGAGTTTGCTTTCATGTGCACCTTTAGCAAACATTTTTTTCTGTGTTATATTAAACCAACTACACTAACAGATTTGGGATAGAAAGCAGTGTCTACCATAGTTTCTCAATAAAATATTCTCACTCTTCTCTCCTCTCTACAGGTACTGGAAAACTGGGCTTCTCCTTTGTGAGAATCACAGCTCTTATGGTGTCTTGCAATCGTTTATGGGTAGGGACAGGAAATGGTGTCATTATCTCCATCCCTTTGACAGAAAGTAAGTATATTTTTAGATAATTGTCCCAAGACAAATAGGAAAATTGCAGGAAATAATTGTCTCCACAATTCAGGTAGAAGGAATTGTTTAGATATTAGCAAGTCCATGGTGACTCAGAAAATCAAACTGTTCTTCCACTCTTCTATTTAACTTACAAACTCTAGAAAATAATGGCTTCCAAGCATCAGGACCAGTCTTCATAATTAAATGTTTTCCATTGTAAGAAGTTCTTTTTCTCAATTCAGGTACACAGCCCTATTTCATCTTCAAAATAAAGATTGAAGTCCATTTTTCTTCAGCTTTATTATACCAGTAACTAGACATATTTCCTGTCATACATAGATTGTTTTAAGGATACATTTGTTGTACGGGGGGATTCATTGTGACAATTCCGAATAGGCTTACATTGTCCATTGGTTAGATATATCTCCCTGGCAAATAATTTTTGACATCTTATTTGCTGTATTTGAGGTTTAAAAAGAGTTGTGGAAGAAATTTTTCAGGAGGTCAACAAACCTTTCTTTGTACTAGAGACAAATCATTTAGCCTCTGTTGGAAAAGAACATGACTTGTTATTTTTGTGAACAAAGTGTACCGTTTATGTTTTTCATATGATGTTTCATTACACTGAGCATCCATTAAGTAAGTGTTTCTTGTGTTGCAAAGTGCATGGACAGAGAATAGTTTGAAAAAAAAAATACAATAGTTCATAAAAGAAATATACACCTCAGAGTCATCCTACTTCATTCAGGGGGAAGGGAAGGAAGAGGACTAGAATGTGTATCTAGAGCCTTTAAACAACCCACATTCTTAATCCCAGCTGCCTTTTCTGTAATTGCATCAAGTCTACATGCAGACTGTTTCTTAATCTTAAGAGATTCTAGGGTCCCTGGATATCATTCCATTTGAGAGAGTTGCATTTTAGCATAATTATTTAAACAGAATTTCTTTTGAAAATATATACACTAAGAAAAATAAAGGAGGAGTTTTAACAGTTAGGAAATGCTCCACACCAACTTTTTAGGGTTTTCATTCAGGTACACTAAAATGGCTTTATAATTAAGAAAACCTCGTAGTAAATCAAAGTGTTCTTTTTGAGCAGAGATACTCTGTAGGAGCCTTGGTAAGAACTGTATGTTACTTGGTATTATGCCAAGTTGGATCCTGTGAGTTTCATTAGGGGTCAAGTAGAAGAGGCCGAGAGTGGTGGCTCACGGTAATGCTTCTCCTCCCTGTCATGCACCTCTCCATGTCCCTTTCCTCCTCTCTCACTGTAGCCGTAATCCTCCACCAGGGACGCTTACTGGGGCTGAGGGGTAAGTGCAGATCCTGAGTCGAGCTCTTCCTGGCGTCTCACAGCCACTGTGAGGCCGCCCCTCTTCCCTAGAACACCTCTTGAATGTTCTTCAGTACCACCCACTGGCATCGCAGCAAATTTTTCTTTAATGTTTGTTACATGGCCACCAACCGCTCAGCAGCTTACTCTATTTATCATCTTTTGTTGCAACTGAACTTTCTCTCAGACTTTGTTTTCTCTCCAGTAAAAACATGAAACATCTCTTAAAACTGTCATTAATCTACACTGTTTACTCTTATTACCGATCATGTTTCTTTCATTCACTTACCCATGGAATGGGGATGTTTTGTGAGTCTGATCATTCTATAATAATCCAACAAACCGTTAACCTGGCATAAATAAAAGCTACTCTACCATGCTGGTTGTATCCTTTTAAGCACAGCTTTTCCCACCCACTTGAAGGGAACCCATATTTGCCAGAGAGGAGGAAAATCAGAAGATGAATTTTAAAGAGAGGTTTTACCTTAAAATACATCCATCTACTTTAGACTATATGGTGGTTAATTTCCTTAAATTAGGACTAAAAAACAAAACAAAACAGTTGTATCTAAGATTCAAATCTGTTTTCTTTTGTTTACTAAAATGATTTTAAAAAAATAATGGATGTGTTTAAAAAATAAGCTTAGTTATTGCTAGACTGGCAAAATCCCCTACTCCATTTACTGAGGTACTTAAAAATAACTAGCATGCTATGTCTTTTTTCCAGCTTTGCCTTGAATTGGCGTTGCTGCCCTTGTGTTATCTCCACTGGCTGTAGCTTTTAGATAATATCATAAGGATTAACCAGTAACCTCTTGCATCATTACTATTTTCTGGGGGAAAATGCTTGGCATTTGATTTTTCTGTTGCAGCAAATAAAACCTCAGGAGCACCAGGTAATCGTCCTGGAAGTGTAATCCGTGTCTATGGTGATGAAAACAGTGATAAAGTGACTCCAGGGACATTTATACCTTATTGTTCAATGGCACATGCACAGCTTTGCTTCCATGGTCACCGGGATGCTGTAAAATTCTTTGTGGCAGTCCCAGGTGAGTTCGATTACTCTGTCCCGTTATTCATGTAATTCTCTCTTCTGTCTTAACCTTGGTTTCACCACCAGGTCTAATGCTAAGTATTTATATAGAATTAATTACAGGTAATTTTAGTATGACATATGAAAAAAGTTCTGTAATGGAGATATGACTAAAGTGCTATAGGGTACTTTTTTATGTGAAAAACATTTTTTTCTTTCCTAAGTTAAAATGTAAATTTTGCTGATGTGGTGGTACATACTTGCAGTCCCAGAACTGTGGAGGCAGAGGCAGGAGGATTCATGAGTTTGAGGCTAGCCTGGGCTATACAGCAAGACCCTATCATAAATAAACCAATAAAATGAAGACTACTTTCAGGGATTATTTCTATAGTTCATTACTAGAGAAGTTTCTCTGATCGTGTGGAGTACTGGAAATCCCAAGGAGAATAACATTCCCTTCACCTGAGGGTGAAGTCAGCTCTTGGTGCTGTTCATTGCAGCTGCCATTTGCCATTGATGATTGTTGTTCTCCTTTGGAGGAGTAAGAAGGTGAGGATGTCATCTGAGTGAAATAAATATGTAAAATGTAAATTTTATCAAATAAGGAACCTGATATTAAGAACAGTTCAATTTTGAGCTGGGCGCCAATGGCTCACACCTGTAATTCTCCTGAGTACAGGAGGTAGAGATCAGGAGGATTGCGGTTTAAAGCCAGCCCAGGTGAATACTTCCCAAGACCCTATCTCAAAAATACCCATCACAAAAAAGGGCTGGTGGAGTAGCTCATGTTGTAGGCCCTGTGTCCAAGCCCCAGTACTGGGGACAAAAAGTTCAATTTTAATCATTTAACACTTGTACAGTATTCAAGTTTAAGAGACTTTGAAATGCTTTACACTAAAAACTGGTTCCCTTTATACAGATTAAGAAACAATCTGAATTGGCAGAAGTCAGTTTTCACTTTACTGAGCTAATGGGAGGTAGAATCCTAAATATTGATTCCAATTTCTACCTATTCTTGAAAACACAAGGCAGAAGGTTAATTTTAGTGTTACACGTAACCTGGATTTACTAACTTTAGGCAACAATAATTTAAAAGGTAGAAAGGGTCCTGTATTATAGGAATTGAAAAATTGATAATACAATAAATGATGGCAAGAACTGATCAGTGATCAAACAGCCAATATACAATACAATCATTAGCAAATGGGAACAAAGGATCAATGTAAATCATACATCATCCTCCATATAACATTGTAGGGTTTTTTTACACCCAAACGTAAAAGTGCTTTTGTTTTAATTTTTGGCAGTTCTGGAGTTCGAACTCAGGGCTTTGCACTTGCTAGGCAGACACTCTACCACTTGAGCCATGCCTCTAGCCCAAAAGTTTTATATGAACTGTAAAGCACTGTCCAGACAAAAGGGAGTAATAGTGATGCCCAGTGGAAAAAATTCTGTCTATTGAAAATATAAGTTATCTGTTAACAAAATCCGTGATTTGATTTTTATTTCCATAAGGCAAGTTTAAGAATTAGACAAAGCTCAAATGTGACTTTGTCATACCAAATATGGGATGTAGAAATCCTAGTCACCATTATCCAGGAAAAGAGAACCAACACAGGAAAGAGTAGTGAGAGAAGGAGAACCAGGGAAAGATAGTTTTAATAGGTCTGCCTGGTTTTGGTTATTGTTTTTTGTTTTTGGCTGTACTGGTATTTGAACTTAGGACCTCCCCAAGTGCTTTTAAGCCATGCTTCCACCCTGATTTTTAAAAGGCTCACATGACTGGTGAGTCTGAAATGGGCAAGGCAGGCCCACAAACTGAAGATACAGGGAAGACTTGATGTTGCAGCTGAAATCTGAAAGCAATCTAGAGGCACATTTTTCTTCCTGTAGAGTTCTCAGTATTTTTCACCTGATTAGACGATGCCCACATTATAGAAGGTAATCTGCTTTACTCACAGTCTATTAGATACAATCAACATTTAAATCAAAAAATACTTCTACAGCAATATCTAGACTGATGTTTAAGAAAATATCTGAGCTTTACAGCCTAGCCACAAAATTAGCCATCACACTTATTTTCCAACAGTGTCTCAAAGATTAAATGGTTAAATATACATAGGACAGAGGCTGACATAAAATCAGTTTTCTTAACATGAATAATGATACCTGATTTTTGTACATTTTTTAAATTATATTATTGTTATACTGAGGATATGTTGTGACATTTACAGAAGTTCTTACAATATACCATAGTTGAATTCCTCCTCTCCATCATTCTCCTTCATCTCCCCCTGCCATTCCTGGAATAGTTTCAACAGGTCTCATTTAACCATTTGCATACATGTGTACATAATATTTTCACCATATTCACCCACCTTCACTCATATTCTCCCCCTCCCATCATTTTTATACATCGACTGTATTGATATAGTCAATACTAATACAGTAATTTCCTTAGGATAAATTCTTAGAAATGATCTTAAAATTCTTAGAAATGATCTTAATAAGTATTTTTCTTGATTTTTTTTTTTTGAAGAAGAGAAAGAAAATGTCTCAGAGCCCTTGTGTTTGTACATAAAAATCTAGTTTATTGAGCTGTGGTGTTATGCCTGAATAAATGTGCTGCTTTATTCGTTCTCTTATTAATGAACCTCTAGGTTTTTTCTTTGTTTCACAGTTAAAAAAAAAAAAGGGGGGGTGGTGCATGATGGATGTTCTCCTGCATATGTGCAAGAACTTTCTGTTGGGTATAAATCTGAAAGTGGAAATGGCAACATTGTTTGTTGTGAGGTCAGTTGACCCTAAGAATTAAACTATTCTGATTAACTTTATTATACCAGTGCTCTGGCTAACTAACCAGCCTACTAATAGAAATTATTTCTAGCTGGCTTGATTTCTCCCAGAGTATGCTTGAGTAATGCATTAATGAAGCCTTGTGGGAATACATCAAACTATCCTATCCACTGTCAACATAGTTTTTAAATTTAGAGTGTATCATATTATATGACTATGCCCTGTTAGGTCCTGGAGGTGTGGTCTGGGTAGTTTGACCAAAGGATAGCAGATTCTGGCTAGGAAAAGCGATATCTCACAGCAAAGCTTTCTAAAAGGCATGCCTTGTAGATTTTCTGTTTGTTCATAGTATGAATAATATTTATAGATTTCTCTTTTCCTGCCATTTAATACTCAGATTTTGCTTTGGAAGCAATGGCACATTTAATAGTAATTTTATTTGCGTATTCTAAATTAAAAATAAGATGTAGTTTTCTTAACTGTGAAAGGAAACCCATAGATTTGAAATAAATTTAAGTGTAATCATGAGTATGTAAACTCTTAAGACTTAAGTGAAGATTTTTCTGTCTTAAATAAATATGAATACTTCCTTTCAGGAGAAAGACCTTTCCATTGTCCCTCAAATGAAACGATATAAAGTGTCTAAAAAAAAAGATATAGATTGTAATAGTTGAAAGTACGGTAGCTAGACCCACCTTGCCATACATGTATCTCACACTGGATTTTGTATCTATTCCTACTTAGTACAAAATTGCTTTACTGAAGGTTTTCTTCATATAATTTTCTTCACGTAATTGTCTTGTGGTTATCCACAGTACTTTGGTTGTACCTTAGAAAATATTTACCTTTTCATTTAACTCTGAACATTTCCCCTGCCCTCATCTATGATAAGTAATATTCATATCTGTTTTTATATAAAATAGGTCAAGTCATTAGCCCACAAAGTGGCAGTAGTGGCACAGATCTAACAGGTGACAAAACAGGGCCATCTGCACAGGAGCCCAGTAGCCAGACACCCTTGAAGTCTATGCTTGTCATCAGTGGAGGAGAGGGCTACATCGACTTCCGCATGGGTGAGTCATTGGTTTGGAAAGCTCAGTTTCCACTGTGTTCTATGAAATGGATTTTTACTCACAGTGAATTAGAAGCTACCCTTTTTATTTGGTTTTTCTTTTTTTTTTTTTTTTTTTGCTTATTAAGAAACCACCCTGGTAATTATTTCTATGTAGTTCCCTTTGAATTCTTATTATTTAATTTTTTTTTTGATGGTACTGGGGTTTGAACTGAGGGACTCACACGTGGTAGGCAGGTGCTCTACAACTTGAGACATTCCACCAGCCCCCTTTGAATTCTTTACTTGGGAAAAGATTCTTTTATTCTTTTTGTTATATGTGTATGTGTGTACATACATATATATAACAGTATTATGTATTATGTTAATATGTGTATATTTCTCTTCATAACAAGATGTATTTGTTTGAAGGAACATTAGAAATAGCAAGAAGTAATCATGTTGAGTTTTGTGAAGAGTTTAAGATTTAGTCAGAAGGCCTTGAGCAAACCATTGAACTTCCCAGAACCTGAGTTTTCTGACCTGCAAAATAAAGAAATAAAAATACTGTATAAAGCATGGTTTTATCAAAGTTTATATCATCTATTCATTTTTTCACCTTACAAACATTAATTGAGCACTTACTATATGCCTGTTGGGCATAAACTTAGTGTATGGAAACAAATTAGTCAAAGCCTTCCTCCTGTATTGTTATAAAACAATACAGAGCTAATGAAATATTGATAATTTAAAATGTTACAGATGCTGTAGTGAGGGAGTAGTCACTTGTTTCCGTGGATGGAAAGAAAAGGAAGTCTAGAAGTGATGCCTAAAGTAACTCAACATGAAACAGTATTAGTCTAAGGAATCGAGTTAAGGAATGAGCTGGGGATTGACTGGCATTCCATGGTAAGAGAATGGCTTGACCAAAGATTTAGAGAGATGAAACCACCTTAGTTGAAGAAAGCCATTTTAAAATTATGGAACCATGGAGTAGAGGAAGGTACAAACCTTAGTCTGGAGGTCTGTGTCAAGCAATAGAGCACCTGCTTAGCAAGCATGAAGCCCTGAGTTTAAAAAAAAAAAACTTGAAAAATACAAATTTCAAAATGATAAAAGAAAGAAAAATACAAATTTCTAACCTAGAAAGAGGGAGGGGCTGGGATATGAGTAACTTTCATATATCATATGTAAAGAAAACTATTTGAAGGACTTTAGAGGACTGATATGATTAGATTTGTGTGGAAGATGCATTGGAGGTTCAAAATAAGAAAGTGAGTTAGGAGAAAATGAATACCTGGGTAAGGAGGTAGCAGTGAGAATAAAAGAGCAGCCTAAACCAAGCTATGAAAACAACCAAGATGCCCTATATCTGATGAATAGATCAAAAAAGTGTTGTGTGTATATGTGTATATATATATATATATATATATATATATATATATATATACACACACACAATGGAGTTTTATTAAGCCATAAGGAAGAATGACACTATGTGACTTAAACTTAAAAGGATGCAGTTGGAGGACATCATGTTAAGTGAAGTAAGCCAGGTTCAAAAAGACAAAGGCCATATGTTTTCTCTCATATATGGATGATAGATCCAAAAGATAAACATACAAAAACAAACATGATCGTATACAAACTTACATGTAGAACATGCTTGTAATAGTGGAACTACTATATGGAACTCAGGGGAGGAGGGAAAGGAAAAGAGAATGATAGAGCATCAATAATACTGAAATACATAACATCTGTGAAGGTAGAGAATATAAGGATAAGTACTGAAAGCTGTTGAATAATGGGGGTAGGAGAGAAGGAGTAAGGGAGAATAATGGAAGGAGTTGAACTGACGAAAGTAAAGTATACTCACAGTGGGGATACATTGAGAAACCTCTTTGAACATTGACTTAGGAATTAATAACAAAAGACAGAACTGTAAAATAGATACCGTGCGGGGGTACTTCTGGGCGGTGGGGAGAGTGAATGAAGAAGATGAAGGTGAGGGAATATGGTTGATGGACTTTATATACCTATAGGAAATAGAGCAATGAAACCCCTTCCAGTTGCTTTAAGTGGGGCGGGGGTGGGGTCAAGGAGGAGAGATGGTTGGGGTGATTTAACCAATATACACTAGAAGCTTAATCGGGACTGTCACAATGAATCCACCTTATACAATGAATATATCCTGGTTTTGTTTTGTTTTGTTTTATTATTTTATTATTCATATTTGCATACAAGGCTTGGGTCTTGTTTTGTTTTTAAAGCCATAGCAAGATGGGGAACTGTTAAATAGTAGGACATGGAGAAAGAGAGTGAACTAGCACTGTCTGAACAGAAGCAGCAGATCTGCAGGGTGGGAAGAGTAGCACTTCATGAACTGTAAGGCACTGTGCAAATAAAAAAATTTGTTTTCTACAGATAAACAGACTCACCTAAGAATCTGTTATTTTAAAACAAAGTATCAAATGGTTTTAAGGTTGTAGATCAATGACAAATGCTTCTTTCAGATAAGAATTCTGTGAAAATAACATTTAGGATCACAGAAATAACAATGTACTACATATGATTAGTGTAAACCAGAAGACTTACTGGCACAGTTTTTTTTTTGGTAGGGGGGGCTTATTAATGTTAAGTTTGGAAGTTGATTGATCCTAATAATAACAGAAGGAATTGAATAACTTCAGAATGTTTCAAATAATTGACTGCTGGTTCAGAATTTCTTTATAGGAAGAAATTGTAGGGACTCTACTTGGCCATGGTAATTTTTGTAGCTTTTTCTTGGAGTGCAGAATTGCAGTTGGAACCACACTGAGAAATATGTTGGTAAAATCTCTGTGTGGTTTTTCCTCTTCCACTAAATTCTTTCCATTGCAGATCCTGAAAATAGCATAAAAATTACTTAACCAGATTTGCCAATATCTAGTAAGTCAGTCTAAAAAATAGGCAATTGGCTAATTTAATAGTGAATCTGATTTTTTAAAAGTTGAGTTTGATCTTATTGTTCATTTCTTTTTTTGTTCCCTATAATGTTCTAATAAGAAAGTGAACCCAACAATCCCATACTTTTAATGGTTTAACTTAAATTGTAGGATTACAGACCCTAGGAAACAGAGTATTTTATTTATTTATTTATTTATTGCAATACTGGGGTTTGAACGCAGGGCCGGTACTGTGAACCACTCCATCAGCCCTTTTTTTATGATAGGATCTTTCAAGATAGGCTTTCTCAAACTATTTGCCTAGGCTGGCTTCAAACCTCAATCCTCCTGATCTCTGCCTCCTGAGTAGCTAGGATTATAGGTGTGAGTTACTGGTGTCCAGCTGGAAACAGGATAATTTTTTAATAAATTTTTTTTAATTCTTTAAAACAAATCAAAAATACCAACAATCTTTTGTCTTGGCCAATTAGTCATTACCATAGTGATTTATCTTTTTTTTCTTCTTAGGAATCAAACTTTAATTTTTTACATTATAACTACAAGGTTATATTTTAGTTTTATCAATTGCATATGTTCAAGCTTATTTCTCTTCTGCTGTTTCTAGTCAAGGGTATCAGTATTTTCTTTTGTCCAACTGAAATTCAAGTGGAATACATCACTTACTCTAGTAGGTCAGTGAACTGTCATTGTCCCTTAGTGTAGACATTTTTAGGATTCTGCTGAAGAATTCATCTTACCAGACAAATTGTCATAGATTGTGCCAGAATAGCCCTGGTCTGAGCCACAGATCTAACTGATAGGAGCTCACGGAAAGGTGTGGCTGTGCTTACATGGGGTCCTGGAGCCAGGGTCTGAGACTAGGACCTCACCTAGCACATGCACTCAGCTGCCTGCTACCCAAGCCTCTGTTTCTCCACCGTCACTATATGCTGTTAATCCATAACCTATCCTACACTTGAAGATCTTGTGGGGGGGGTGAACCTAGTATAGTAGGTGATGAATCTGCCATGTTACAGAGAGGCAGTTTGAATTTCCATATGCTTCTCTCAGTTATCTTCATTGAAAAGCTTTCCTCATAGCTCTGATAATAAGCCATGATTATTTGGTTTTGTTTTTGTGCTCCATATCTATATGTGCACATTTAACCTCAGTTCTTTGTTTGAAATAAACAAGAGTAGACTAGACTGTCCATTGTGGAGAAACACAGAATTGGGCAGCTTTGCTTTCTTAGCTTCCCACTTTATGTGATGATTCTCCAACATAGTATGGTGAGTGGTTTTATAAATGTTGTGAAAAATGAATTTCAGAAGTCAGGCCATGGCATGGGTGAGCATGGGTGAAGATTCTGATTCTGTGTATTTATTTTAATGTGTTCTCTGAGATGGAAGTCACACAAGCTTGGTACATCTGTTTATAAGCCAACTGAACACTGTCTGAGTCACATCATTTTGTACTTTCTGTGCTCAGTCTAACTTGAGTCTCCTTGTGATCCACTTAGGTGATGAAGGTGGAGAATCAGAACTTGGAGAGGATCTTCCACTAGAACCTTCTGTCACCAAAGCGGAAAGGAGTCACTTGATAGTGTGGCAAGTGATGTACGGCAGTGAGTGAGCCCATAGGAAATAGGCAGAGATGGGGAAGCCATCTCTTCTGCATGGTTTATTTTCCCTTCCCTCTTAATTTAATGCTCTTTTTGTGAAATAAGTTTCACCACATAATGTGTGAGCATTTTTTTCCTATTAACTTTATATTACAAAATCTGTCCTATGGCAACAATACAGAGGAACTAGTTATTCTACTGCACCAGTGTTATAGGCAATTTCAGTATGTTGTGAACAAATCGAATGTTTACTTGCTACAAGCTGGTGATTTACAGAAAGCAATCCAGATGTGGTTTACTCTGCCATAGTCTAATGTCACTCACTTCATTTCATGGGGTCTCTTTTTAGCTGTCACTAATAATGGAACTAATGAAAAACACTTGACAAATGAAACTATACTGTGACATACAATAGCAGAGTTTTCCCCAACGTATTATAAAATTGACACACTAATATCAGATTATCAGGATATATCTAAATGTCCCAAGAGGGCTAAAAGCTAACTGTAAATTACTTTAACTTTCACTTTCAAAATTGACAAATCTTGTTTATATGGTATATAAAACTTTGTTTTCATCAGGTTTGGGGGGTTTTATATTAAAGGAATTAAGACTACACTATTTAAATAAAAGTTTTCTGTTTCTGTCTTAATAGAGCTCTAAAGTTTATGAGGCCTGCTTCTCTGAATATTCTGATTTTTTTGAGACTAGTTTCACTCGTTTTCATACTGACATGTTTAAGAGGTTTATTATTTATGAAGCTTAGAAGATATTCTGGGAAATTTAGAGGATACTTCAGCACTGGGAGGATTTTTAAAAGGAAGATCTGTTTGTGTTTCTTGTACCAGAGGATGGTGGTACTTGATTCTGTTTTTTTCCATGTAAAAAAATTCATCTGTTTGCCAAATGTTCCTGGGCTGCTCTTACCTGTTTATGAAAGTAAAATTGTAGTGGTGATAAGAGTCTGGCCCAACCAGCTGAATCCAGAATTTGAATTGGAAGATTATTTTCTTTTGTTCTGTATAAAAATACCAAATTGCTAACACTTGGTGTTTTGGATGTAAATAACATTTTAAGCTTTTGCACCCCTTTAAGCTTAAAATGCTGCCTTCAAAAAGGAAAAATATGAAGGGGAAAAAGACAAAGCCAAGATGCCATTTATAAAGTCAAAGTCAACATTACATCTTTTCACTCACAATGTCAATTTTAAAAAGTAGATTAGAGTCTAGGTTTAACTGATGTCTTATTTAATAATTTTTTTAAAAAAACATGATAAAAAAAAAAGCTGCAGGTTTTTTTTCCTTCTCAAGCTTCCTTCCTGAAAATGTATGATTTACAATTTCTTATACATTACTCTGAGCAAAGCTAAACATATTATTATGTGCTATTTTAAAAATATAAACCTGTAGGAAACAGGCTCCCCCACACACACACTATTGGAAGGTCTACTTCAAAGAAAAGCAAGCAAGCATAGGTTTCTAATTGTCTAAACATTCTTAAGTACCAGGGATTTTTTTTTCTGAATTATTATGAAAAGATACCTGTAAAAAGTATACCAGTGACTTTTATGCATATACATAATTAGGCTAGGTTATAAAGTACATGGGATTTAAAGAGCCCAGGAAGGCTTTTGGATCCATTTGGCCACATGTGTCTATAAGCACATTGTGTACACAATAAGACTGTGGCCACTGTATGTTTTAGAAGGAAAAAAAACTGTTTTGGAAAAAGCTGTGTATTTACAGGATAATTTTTTGCTTGAGCTACTTAGTCACTTTTCTTCAGGGCACAAAACTTAGGCCACTTTGCCATAGCTTGTTCGCTATGTTTTTATTTTAAATATGAGCCATTTTTGGCACTATCTTAAAAAAGCATTATTAAGCATTTATTGGAAATGTTGTGTAAATTCATAAGGAGACACCAAAGTATTTGGGAATTTTAATCCCAAGAAGTAAGTATCCCAGAGTCAGACCACCCCCCCTTGTTCAGAAGCCTTTTACATGTTTGTAAGACCGAATGTAATTTAGGAAATCAGGAGCTAAAGATGAAATGTGCAAACATGTTGCAGTGGTTGTAATTGTTCCTTTTAAACTTAACCAGCTCTGACTTAAGGAATATGGGTGTGTAGTTATTTTATCTAAAGATGTCAGATTATCTGTGGCCCTGTTAACTTCAGGGACCAGAGATGACAAACGCCTGTACAGTTTGTTTTAAAGGGTTGTGGTTATGTTTGTAACTTCAGTCAAATATTTTCTACAGATTGCTTCCCTTCCTCTTTCCCCCAATAACAGATTCATATTCTTATAATGTTTACTTTGGTCAAGGTGGTACCTTTGGAAGTAATGCTAGAATGTAAGCCTCTTGCAAGCAGCAAAGGGTATAAACTGCCTTAGCTACCAGGTCAAGAGCAGAAAGGAGGTCTTGAAATCTCCCAGTGGTCTCTCCACTTTTCTGGACATCAGGGGTAATGAGAATTCTCATTTTGTTACATTTGGGTTGTGTATGAACTGGAATCACAAAATTACCATTGTTGACCCATTGCTGACCTACACAAATGGCAACATCATATCCTGGACCTAGAATTTACTATTAAATGCAGATTAAAATCTCAGTGAAGCCAAGGGAGGATATTTTCTAATTCAAATACGAGAGTTTTTCTCTAGCTCATGTGAATCTAAATTGTTAAAATAGAAATAAATCTCTTAAAAGTTGTAGTTTGTTGAGAGTGTAAAACGTTGAGCACAAAATATGCAGCGCACAACTTTACAAATGAGGTGGGCTTGCATAGAAAAGGTTAAAATACATTCTCTCAGTTGCAGCATTGTTCATTTCTTGCAAGGGTTTTCCTAAATTTGAGAAGGAGCCCTTTAACATAGGCAGCCTTAGTAACAAAACAAAGCGTCTCATCATATTAACTGTTCTGCAGACCACGTATCTTGCAAATCCAGTGGAGCTGAATATTTACTTCTTTGTGAGTATTACGACCATTACCAAAAGACTCAACCAGATTTAGGGCTCTTCTTAATTGATCCCACTTTGTAACATGGGAAGAGGAGGGGATAAAATTCAATGTGGAAATCATAAATGCTTTTCTAACAGGGTTATGCTATTCTGTAACACTAATTATCTTTTTTTCTCTTAAAAATTAAGTTTTACTAATAAGTTTGTCCTACATTTATTTCTCAATATTTGAAAATATTTTTAACCATTTGTGTTCTAAATTTGTTTTTTGTCCTAGACATCTTATCCAGAACTTTACTTGCCTCTATAAAATTGGGTTCTAAAGTGTCCCACTTGCTGTCTCTTAGAGGCTGAGGCTTCATTTCTATGAGCAAAAAGCTCATTTAGCAATGTAGTTATTTCATTATTTATTTCTATTATGGAATCCCTGGGGTTCGGAATGTAACTTTGTACATGAAATATATATAAATATGTATATGAAACATGTATGAGGTCCAGTGTGTTTTGTTTTCACCTTTCTTTCTTTTTTTTTAATGGCACTGGAGTTTGAACTCGGCCTACACCTTGAGGCACTCCACCAGCCCTTTCTTGTGATAGGTTTTTTCCAAGATAGTGTCTCATAAACTATTTGTCTGGGCTGACTTTGAACCTCAGTCCTCCTGATCTCTGCCTCCTGAGTAGCTAGGGTTACAGGCATGAGCCATCTGCACCCAGCTTGTTTTCACCTTTTGTGGGAATCTAAATGTGGTTTTCATCTGAAAGTTTGCCCCCATCAAACACGTCATTGCTGAAGTTAAGACTGTGGTGTTTGGCACAGGGTAAAACTGAGCAATGGGAATACTCACACCTGGCTGCTTGGCTCACAAATTAGATGAGACGTGGTAATGGACAGGAGTGCTGTCTGGAGAGTGGGAGTGCCAAGTCACCACCCACATATGGAATGAGGTGTGCTACCTACCAGATTACTCGGTGATAAGAGGAGGTAGACTGCGGTGTGGATTTTAATACCACAGACTTGTGATCCACTTGCTTGGGAGATGCTGAGAGGAAGGATGAATGTAAAGCTGGTCACATGGCAGGCCAGTGTGAATCCACAGTCAGTGCAATGGCATTTATTGTGATCTAGTATGTCTTGTTTATGTCTTTAAGAAAGCTGGAATTTTAATATAAGAAAAGTCACCCTGGTTGGTATGTTAACAGGACACAGTTACCTGTCCAGTGAGGTGCAGGATGCTCTAGAAAGTAACTATGCAGACTTGCTCCTAGCCTCTGTGGGGCCTTACCCTGTCTGCCCCTTAGTCCTCTAGGGCCTGCCAAGTCTGTTGACTTGCCTCCAGTGAGGCTAGAGTGGCAGCAGAGAACCGGAGACATTCATTTTGACTATGCTAGAGTGCAGTCTCCACACCTGGAACTGTAGCCTACCATCCCCTGCCTCACCCTAGGGAGAGAACTGCCTTTCAGGCCTTGGTGAAAAGATTCTGCTGAAGCCCTCAGCTTGTCCCTCACTAGCCCCAGGACTTCAGAAGTCAATGTAGACAGAAAAGTGCTGCCTGTTGCAAGGCATAGTCTTAATATTCAGCAGTGGCCAATTTTTTAAGAAAGGTTTTGCAGTTAGATTTCTCAGGATGCCTCAGATATTGGGTAATTAATACAATTTCATTTTAAATTAATTTTCTCTATGGAGACATAGTGATAATAGTGGGAGAGAAAGGCTGTGGACCTTGATTCTGTATGGGCTTTACTCTAACAGTGCCCTTAGATGAGTCACTTTAACATAGCCCCTTGAATTGCCTATCTTTCAGGCTCTGGCCCTGGCACCTGTAAGGTGTCCTAGGTGCGTGTGATGTGTAGCTTATATGGAGAGATGCTGTTCTAACATCTTTGACCCAGAGTTCTCTATTACAGAAGGGAAGGGGGGCTTAGACAGGTGAGGCAAAAAGCAAAACCTAGCTCTAACTCTTTGATTCTCAAATCCTGGCTCTAATTCACCTTTGGCTTATTGTCTGTGCAGTTAAGTTCAGCACTGCCCAGTGCTCCATAAGGCCCAGGCACCCTGCCGCATAGGGTTTGATTGCTTAGAATTTTCAGTTTATCTAATTACACTGTTTGAAAGTCAAATAGTTTAGCTGTTTGTGTTCAGCCTCATGCACCATAGTGTATCCCACTCATAAACCAAAAATAAATAAATTTATTAATTAATTAAAAAGGAGTTATATGATTTGATGCCTCAAAGGAGAGGTGGACAAAATAAGCCCTGGCTCTGGAGACAGCAATTTCACTTGTGAGCTGCAGTTCTCTGCCAGGCCATCAGACAGTGCTATGGCCAGAGTCACTCTGGGAGCTGTCTGCACAATAAGTTTTCTTCCTGTCAATCTTGGGAGTATCAGACTCTACTGGCATTTGGGGAAACAGCTGGGTGATTCTGACCCTCCCATTGAGAACATCTGCTTACAGGAATGAGAGCAGCCCAGCTGGTTTTGCAAACACCTGTTTTCTAGAAGTACAAAGCTTTATTCATTTTTCAGCAGTTAACAATCTGCACATGATGACCTGCCAGCTCTCTCACCCCGGGCCCAGGGCCCAACCTCATATCTTTCCTTGAACTCAGGGTCTTGCACTTGCTAGGCAGGTGCTTTTTCCACTTGAGCCACTCTGCCAGACCCTTTTTTGTGATTTTCTTTTTTATCTAGATAGGGCTGTTTACCCAGGGTGGCTTCAAAGTGTGAGCCTCCTGATCTCTGACTCCTGAGTAGCTAGGATTGCTGGTAGCTGGTGAGCCACCAGCACTTGGCTATATGTTTTCTTTGTGATTCATGGACAATTGAAGATTATGACACATTGAACCTACTATTACAAAAAAAAAACTTTGAAAAGTAATACTATTTAAAGGAGATCCAGAGGCGTGGCCATAGCAGGGGCGTGGCCCGTTGGTAAGCAGACCCATGAGAAAGCACCTCACTGGATGATACATTAATAGACACTAGACGCTACTGAAAGTGATGGGGGAAGGACTAGATCTCAAGTCAGAAGACCTGGATTTCAGTCCTTCGTCTACTGTTTCCTGATTAACCTTGGGACACTCAATGATTCAATTTCCTTACTGTGAAATTAGAGTAATACTCCAAAAGGTTCTTGTGATGGCTAAGTGAAGTAATGTGTGCAATAGCAACCAGCATAGCCCCTGGCCTGCTGGACTTCGCAGCGGGCTTTTGAGGTTTCCATATATCATGTATATAAAGATGAGTAAGACATTCTCAAGGAGATTAGGCTAGTGGGGGGAGCAGGGTCCAAAAAGGTGAAGCATAAGCAAGTGGTGGTGTGGCTGTAAGCAAGTGCAAAGCAGGAAGTGAACAACTATGGACACTGGTATAGAGTCTACTTTGTAATGTGGTAATAAAACAGTTGGATGCAATGCCTGCTGAATGCAGAATATTCTTACTTCCAGTCTATCAATATTCTAGGCCCTGTCTGTCTTCAGAAAAAGGTGAACCCCGAGGAAGCAGAGGCACCCTAGACCTGTCAGACCCCTTTTTCTGTTGCTTCACCCTCCTTAGTTTAAGAAAAAGGGACAGTCCATGAAAATTAAATATAGGGACACTCATATTTTGCATGTAAGAGTTGTTTTCTTATGTAGGCACACTGAAAGGACACATTTATGCATGAGCATAGTAAACTTTATATATTTTTGATGGTACTAGGGTTTGAACTCAGGGTCTCACACTTGATAGGCAGGCATTCTACCACTAGAGCCACTCCGCCAGGCCTGTAAATAGTACATTTTATATTTTTAGATGCAATCAACATATTTGGGAACTATAGATAGATATCTATAGCCTTATCATAAGGCTTTGTGATAAAAAGCTCAGTACACATAAACGGGTAGAGAATGACATAAGGAGCTAAATAAAATATTAATATCAAATGCACAACACGATATGGAATGGTGGATAGAAGGGTTATGTTTTCACATGATTTGAAAGCTTAGCATTCATCTTTCTAAAGCAAAAAGGCAAAATTCCATCTATTCATATATTAGCAGGACATCTCAGGTGCAGACACCCAAACAGTGCAATAGTCTTTCAGAAACTTGAATTTCCTCATCAGTAGTATCTGGTGAAACTCTCATTTACAGAAGTGCTGGGAAGAACACATGAGATTATGTGAGGTATTACTCAGCAGTTAAGTATTTGTATCCTTCCCGGATGGATGCCCCAACTCCTTTTCCTACTATCCTTTCTCATCAAGCTTCCTTCCCCTACCTTTGGCTCATCCCACACAAGTGTGTGTTTTCTTTGTGTTCCAAACCCTGGAGTGAATTTCAGCTGTTTTCTCTGCATTCTGACTTGGTTTGCTTCTGTGCAAGCAGGCTTTTTATTGCATAGGCCATCTATAGCTCTGTCTTGGAGAGTTTACCTGGGACTGTTAATGAAGAACTAGGAGCAGAAGTGTAATGTGTCCCATCCTGGTTCTCAGAAGCATCTCAGTCACTCCTCTTTCACAGAGGGTCCAGAGATGAACAGGATCTGGGCAGATGTCAGAAACTTTAGAGAGGTGGAGAGCTGAGAGGTGAAGTTTAATTAGGGAGAATCCTTGGCTTCCCAATACCACCCTCTCCCAGAGCAGGAAAGGAGTAGAGGAAGGAGAGCTGCATGCTAGGGAGAGATCCAGCTCTGCTCCCTTTTGAACACGAGGTGGCACCATGTTGGTATTAACCTTTTAAGTGTTAGCTGCTGATCCTAGCATGACAGTGCAAACCAGGCTACAGGATATGGTACATTATTGAGGGTCAGATTGTATGAGCAGGTAACCAGTTAGCAAGCCATCACCAACAGCAGCTATTATCCAACAGTAGAGATCATGACTCAACTAGATGCCTTTTCTCCTAGCCTGCTCAGATTCTTATACTTTGGTTTTCCTCCTCAATCCTCCCATTCACCCCAGGCAGGGAATACATCCTTTCTAAGCAACCTATAGCCCAGGGACCCAGTGGGTACTGGTGCCAAGGTAAGCAGGGTTTGAGATGAGTGAGAGAAACATTGGCCCAGGGTATTAAAGAAAGGGATTTTTGAAAGCATCCACACCATCAATTTCTGGTCTTTGAAGGTACACAGGAATTTCTGCTGTTGTCACCTCTGAGCAAGTTAAAGGAAATGTCACAGAATCAGCTTAGTGAGTTCTTCAATGGAAACTTTATCCAAGGTCGATAATAAATAGGAGTTACATAACTCGGCAGGTCACAGCACTAACTAAGCCCTTTATAGACCATCAATCCACATTTATTTCCTGGATTTTATAACTGCTGCTGCTGCTGAAAAGGAAAAAAGGAGGGGCTGAGGATTAGGGGGAGAGGATCTGTATGCCTGGAATAACACTTCAGGGCTACACTCCCTTCTCCACACCCCCTCTGCCAGTCACCCTGAAAGGGTCACCCTCAGAATCACAGCATATGCAGACTCTGTGCTTCCCACCAGGAAGCTCATATCC